GTGAAGAGGGTTCTGTAGGAGCTGCAGGTCTGTAGCTGTCAACGAGTCGTTGATGTTCTTGACTCACCGCCCTAAAATTTACCTATATTTATAAGATGTATAAACAATACATCTTATAAATAAGGCAACTCTAGTGCCATTGAAGTTAAAATTTAAAATTACTTCTCAATACTTACAAATAACAATACACTAATTAGCAATTGTAATCAAACCAATTTTTGAACAATGCACATCAAGACCTCGCTAGTTATCGTTACATTGCTAAGTTACCAACAAACAATTTTAGGTTGAATGTTCCTTAACGGAGCCACGTTTGATGTGCGTTACTTATGGTTGGATACCGGAAAAAAGTGATAAGCGTAAGTTAGGCTCTGAATCAACGATTATAAGGCTTAAGTTCAGCTTTTACACAACCATTAAGACTTTACGGCAAGTATCAACTCTTGAGTGCGAACATTCTTCGAATTGAATATTGAATTAAACAATTGAATTTCCGTGCAACAAGATAACAAACCTTGAGATGTTCAGTGCCACAAGACCAGCTCATGCACGTGCTTCCTACAACGTGACCGACGTCCTGAGCGATATCCTTTCAGCCTTGCTCAGTCGTTCACTCATAAGCTTCAGATTCGCATTAAATAAGGTGGCCTTCGCACAGAGAGCAGTTTTATAATAAAGAAAACATCGTTCATAGAGAAGTTCACAGTGAAGAAGCATTTTTGAAGACTGTAGTATCAAATGAACGTATCTGACGTTAGCTAAACATGTGTATTTTTGCGATTTAGAGACGCTAGTGTTGACTTCAGAACGAGGTTCATATCAGCACGTGAATGCAAGACAATTATCGGCAGGCACCCTTGGCAACAAGGACACTAGCCTGACTAATCTCTGACCTCGCTACTTGCAGACGACAAAAATGCAGATACTGAAGAAAAGTTCGCAGAAGTGAAATTTTCAACCTGGCACATCACTAATCATGATTCGTATTTTCACCGCAGCTTTGAACAGCCCTTCATTTTGAATACTGGACAAAACATTCGTCACTTTCTACATATGCACGAGTGATAAACTAGACTTTATCGAAACGTCATGTGACAGCATGAGCAACTTGATCGGAGACTTTATTAACTAAATTATACTACCATCATTTACAAGCATAACATTAGTTATTATTTCACGCTAGGCCTGATGCATTACCGAATTCAGGTGCATTGCACCAAGCCATGGATCGTTGCGTGATGAGCACCTCCAACTAAGCCGATGCTAGCTGGCAACTTTAATGGTATGCATAGTCACGCTAGACTACGTCATGTGACTACATATATCAAGAGGGTACGACAATCCAGGTTCGTTGACACGTGCTGGTACGAAAATTATTAGCTAAATAAATTCACGGATAGAAAAAAAGGTCTACATTGATCGGTCAAGCGTTGAATCTGGAGCTACTTTATCTTGAAAACTGGAAATAAACTGTCAATGCTACCACAAATTCCAATCGGAATTATTCATCAAATTTTATGTTTGGTAAAGTACCCCACATTCTGACGGGCACGAAGGAAGGATCAATACGCCTGGGGCATCATAACCGAGTCTTAGTATATGTTTTGGCAGATTATCTATAACAAATTTATTCAAGAGGTATTACTTGAAATAGCCTAGTAACTATTTATCTTCATACCTAACGAGATATTACATTATCATATAGAAAGAAGTTAAGAGCCTATAGGCACTCTTAACAAAAGCATGTTCAGGATCTGAAAATCTCTTCTATTTTAAGGCAGATCAACACAAACGGAAAATTTCTAGATTAGGAAGAATTGAATTATTGGGCGATTGTTCTGAGAGCAGACACGACTTGGCATAAAATAATCAAGACATCAGGACGCCGGCTGACGTCATTGACCAAGCATTCAACACCAGCAACAGACATTGACCTGCACCGTATATATCGAGATAATGAGCATCACTTCATTCTACTTCATTGATGAAATTAAAACTGTCATATTTTTGCAGTAATTTATTTGAGAAATGAGAAATAACAAATTAATGCTGATTCAAGTCGTTGATTAACAGGTGATATTTAGAGAAATTCGAAATCAAAAATTTACTTTTCAAAACCTTGAAAACCCGTTGACGAAAGGCATAGTAATAGCACAGCCTGCAGCTCGTCTGAAATTCTGAAGCACACAACGATTGCAAATCGGAATAGCATTGAAAACTAAGCAAAATTAACAATGTTTCTTCTCTATGACGGCACAATAGACATGCACCTGCATTTATGGCCTCAGTACACATTGAAAGCTTAGGGTGAAATAAAAAACCGCGTTCAGTCCAATATTAAACATAAAGCAGGCAGCAAGTGTTGCGTGTGGCAGCATGTTGGACTAACTATTCTCAAGGTCAGCTCTGCGCTCATGAGATTAGTTATTATACACGGTTGCATAACGTAGAGTCTAGCCTTGTCACGTCGAAGTTCCCTCTTTGCACAGCCTGGGCACATAACACAAAATGACATCAACAAAACGAATTAACACACGGTGCAATAATTGTTCACAACAGACATGAAGATATAAACAACGCATATTAACACATTATTATTATTATTAACGGTTTCAGGGTTGATTAGGCCGTTAGACCTGTCGCCGATTCTGAACGTCACAGAATATTCACAGCTTTTTGCGGTCTCGAATACACAACTCACTTCCATTAATTCGGCTGTGCTTAGCCACCCGGCCTCCTTGCCGATTCTGACCAGAAACTGTTGCTCTGAGCTGGTATCGAACCCGCACCTGTCTGCTCCAACCCTGGTACGCACAGCTTGCTCCAATCCTGGTACTCTGAACTGTAAGCACAGGGCTGCAACCTCTGATACTAGCATATCAAAGAACTGAAACGAGCAAATGAGCAAAAAAATAGCATTCGGTCGCCTACACAACGTTCAAAAAAACTGAGCGCTTTTCCACGCGGATCATTAAAAGCGTAAATTCTGTGTTTCATAAAAGGGCCTGTGACGTTCAAGATCTGTGCAATATAAACATTTCTACAGAAAAAATACCACAATACCTAGACAAAAATCCAGATAAATCTGCCAAGAATTATTCAGTGGAAAAAGCATCGTATATTTTACAGTAATTCTGCAGTAACGTATATTACTTTTGCATCGTATATTTTGCAGTAGTAACTAAACTTGAGGGAATAGAGCAAACTGAAGAACGAAAATGGGCGTAAGTGAATAATTCGAATTATTAGACAGTAATTTTCTAATGACTAAGAATGGAGGGCGATGAACATCAATTCACAAGTACCCTGTTCTACTAAGATGTAACCCAGTACATCAAAAAGCCATTTCGCATTCCGATTCATCACAAGATGAAAAGTAACTTTAACTGTGAACCTATCACGGCGATATGAACGCCAGCATCACGTGTCGATGCATATCTCACAAATTCCAGCACAAATAAATATAATAAAATAAAAAGAGTCCATAAACCATGCACATTTAGTGAGTGCCTTTTACACTCAATCGGGCTTTTTTAGAATTTCAAAACAACCAACAGCAAGATCGAGAGTAAATAATATAACTCTTTATTAGTGAGGTTGTTCAGAATAAAAAAACTCGTCCAATAAATTGAAACGGTTTCTGAAAACAAAATCTGAAATATTCCTCTTAGCTACATATCAAACAATACGCAAGAAAATAAAAATCGCCAAAATATAAATAATAACGCGCCAAATTGCTGAAGTATCTATGGCGAAATCTGGTTACCGAAAATTTATTAGGCCAACGCTCAACGTACAGTCCAAGTCGTGACTAGAGAAGCTAGATAGCAAGCACACGAGATAAGAATCTTTTAAGAATATGAAAATCATACAACAAAAATTTGACGTACAGCTGCATAGTGACTTGAACCGAAGTCAATCTTTCATAAAATCCCCCATCATCGCCCATTATTGAAGTTTGCAGCAATACGAACAAGACTTCAGAGCCAGTGAATGCTCTCATTGTGTGATGCAAGCTGCGAGAGCATCGCAAATCAGTGCACCACACGTATTACATCGCAGGCACCATGGACTGCTGAGATGATGTTAACTCATGGAAAATAATCCGTATAGTATTATGGCCCATTGCCGAACGCGAGCATATTAGCAACCATTTAGAACATGACATAGTAATTACAAATATTGATATTAATATTACTGAAAGGACATTCATCACTGCAAACAAAAAAAAAAACGTGTCAAAGCCCGCTGAATTGGGTAACCTTCATTGCAACTCCAGAACTCGGTGATATCAACCTAACTTCAACAAAAGAGTAAAACATAACAATGAAATAGATGGGTTTCTTTAATATGAAAATTAAATAAAGCGCAAGGGCGATTCTTGCGAACTGAGCGAACAAATGCAGCGTTATCAGCCGGAGGAAAGGCGCCTATCAAGCTTGCACGTCTCCACAACCTGCAAGCTTCTCAGTTAGTGCACTCGAATTTCTCAACAATCTTGAGTCACAAAAGATGATAAGAAACAGAATAACGGCCGATGATATCTTGTTAGTACAATGCACTTGAAAAGCAAAGCGCAGCGATGAATAATGTCGAACTACACTATTGGAAACATTTTCGCGGTTCTGTAAAAAGCTTAACGACTATAAATGCGAGACAATTTCTGATTAACTTAAAATCTTTCTAATCTAGCATTGAAATCGATTCTATATTCAACCGAAAGTTCCACAGAATTGGATAAATATCAGATGAGCTAGATAAGTAATCATATTTTGTCTCAGTCCCTCTAAAGAAAGTGAATCTGCAACGCTGAAAAGGAAATTGAAACCAGCGATCACTTCAAGACTCATTGCTACTGCAAAAAGAAAAAAGAAAGCCTTAAATCAATTGTGCATTGTAATGTATTGCTGCATAGCATTGCTCATGAAGTTTCGAATGCACGGACGATAAACCTCTGATCTATGTTTCCTGCGAAGACAATAATTACAATAGGTACTCACCGCTGTAGGATTTTTGAAGGATCTTCTGAACCAGATGGTCCTGGTGGCTCTAAGAGTTCCATCCTTAGCTCGTACGTCTCCAGTCGCAGAGTTGGAATTGTCCTGCAGGACTGTAGGACGAGCGATGAATCTGTCCCTTAGAGGCAAACTCATTCTGTTAGGTTTGCCACGAACTAGAAACTCTGAGGGATTGTTTTCTTTGGTTGGGGTGCAGTGGGTGGACAGAGGAGCGTATGGTTGAGTAGGGGCAGTAGTAGTCGTTGGACTTGTGATCAAATTAAGGCCTTTCAATGAAGACGAAAGTGTGGTGTTTATTTTAACGCTGTTGTGACTACCGTTGCTACTACTTCGACTCATATCGCTACCACTTCCTTCCGAAGAATTGCCTTGCTGTAAACTTCTAGGGTTTCCTACGTCTATAGGAGAAATTACTTTGGAATGTTCTTGAGAATCGGGTATTTTAACAGAAGGTATCGCCTCGGTGCAATCGTTACCCGAGCCATGCAGAACCCCAGAGCTGCTATCGTTGCTGCTCACCCCGCTACTGCTTTTGTTCCTCGAAAAGCTGTTGGTTGCACCGGAACTTGAGACAGAATCAGCAGGCGCAACCAAGTTGTCGGACCTCAGTTGATTATTGATGTTTTCAGCATTTTCTAACACTTCTTTAGTGTCGCAACTCTCGGTCGCGACCGACAGCAGCGGCTTAGTACCGTTAGTATGCGTCTTCGCAGTACTGGCGATCTTCGATTTTGAATGATGTTCATAATCTCCATCGTCGTCATCATCCTCATTATCTTCCTCTATAATCGCATCATCCATGATTATCTCGTAACAATCGTCATCAGCAACATCACCTTCATCACCATCGTCATCGTCGTCATCCTCATTCTCATCTTCCTCGTCGTCATGACTTGGGTTGAGTTCGCCCTCCGGGTTCGCGTCTTCTCTCCTTTTAGCAGTTCTGGACGGCATTGACGTGTATACCTTAATGCCAGTTTCCTGGACGAACGCTTCGTCCCGATCAGGCTCGGATGGCGGAGGAGGTGGAGGAGGTGGCGGGATTATCCCTACCAGCCGACCACTGCCACGCCGCAAGCCGCTCACCTGATTCCTCATCGGGCTGGGGCTTCGTCTTCCAAAGTTTCCGTACATTATTGAGCGACACTATTTAAAAGGCATCAAATGAAGGCAGATTATCGACAGTAGTTACTGCGCTTACACACCACTAGGCCTTCACACAACCTTCACCTCAATTCTGCAACTAACTGCTATTTGACCGACGTATCCCTACTGATAGCATCCAAGTAAGGCACAAAAATCATTTCAAAACTCACGAATCAGCTCACTATTCCTGCAAACATCAGCAAAAATTAATTGAATCCAGCGATAGTGTAGATTTTCAAGAATTCAGTCGTGCGATACTGAAACTAAAGCATAAAAACTGACTGTCATCAATCTTTGTCAAGCACCAATACACGAGCAGTGGTGGCGTCTAATAGGAAAATATGTATACACAGTGACTCCAGACCAAATAACACACATGGATTAAAAAAAATATGGCTATCAAAGTACCGTATAGAGCCCTACAGTACAACACCTTAAGGAACAACACACGTCACACACAAAAAAAACATGTCAGTCGCCTAATTCTTCGCGTTCGGATTGAATTCTCACTAGGACAACCCAATGGCTATAAAATGATCACAACTAAATTGTTCCTTTGGCCCGCCATGCTTAGTATAGTGGACATTTTTACGGAATTCGGAGGTTCTAATGTGTGTCATCGGAAGTGGGCACCTCAAGCAGCGTAGGAGGTCATCGATTGGACCAAAGAAGATAACATCCACTCGAGGATGACCCCGCCCGAGTTGGCTTTACGATAAGCTCTGAATAGGACGGCGGTGAGAGGTCTAATATATACCTTCTATTCTATATTAATTGCCACGGTGTCTGAGAGGTAATCCGATGCATGAATGAGGAAAAAGTGCGTTAGACCGGACGCTGAGACTCGAATATTGTGATATAGGACATAGTATACGGATGAACTACAAATCATGCTCTAGTCAATATTCATTCTACAACAATGGTAGAGATGACTAAAGTTCTGAAACAAATTATTCTGCTTCGTCAAGGTATCACAGAACGTAAGACTAAGGCACATTGTTCACAGAGCCATGCACAAAATTACACAGGCTAACGACAAAAAAATCTTAATTGACAGGCAATTGCATTTGCGGCTGCCTTCCCATATAGGTATTATACGGCCATAAGACGTCTACGTTGACGGGATGATTTAGTTCGATTTCCGGGAACACAATTTCATTAGAAACTCAAAGTTTGATAAGCTAACGGATTAAATATTTGGTTTATGAAGCCTCCGATAATAAAAAGCTCAGGCAGTACCAGTTTAGATCGTACGACCGTGCAGCTGAGGCCAGGAGGCTGCAGCAAATTGAGCAAGAAGAAGCCCACTTGTTCCTAGAAGCGGGAACCTTGAACACAAATTATGGGCAAGACGCCCTACCTGGAAGAACTCGTCACCTGGTCAAAGCTGGCTCGGTAGAGAATGGCTACATAGCATGGTCGGAGGCTATTGCTCCCGGCAGACGACTTTCTGGGAAATTTGGAATGAAACAACCAGGCTTCGCGTTGTATGATACTAGGCCTATGTTAAGGCCGATACTGAGGTCAAGCTTTGACTTCTAAAATTTGGCGAATCGGTTAAGATAGAATAGAAGTAAAAAACAATCGTCACTACTGTAACGGATAAAGAAATTCACAAAGCAAGAAATCCAACAGCATCAGACCTCAAAAATAGGACATCTAAAAATTTTTCAAACAATTACAAATCGGTAAAAGTAGAGACTCGCCAACTCACTAATCAATATTAAGATGAAAAACGAGCTATAAATTGAAAGCGTATGACAGAAGTGCCTCCTCAAAAAATTGTGGACAGGAAATGTGTCGATATCTTGCTCTGCAAGACATATTTAGGTACTACCTATATAGTATATATATACACCCACATATGTATAACCGTTCTGCCTCAGCACAAGTCTCGTCAGTCCATGCAACAATCCATGTACTGAATTATAACGAATAACGTTCATTTAGGCCTCCCAGGAATGTCAATCGATGAAGGTTTTTTTCTTCACCTAGGCTAACTGCAGCTCAGGGCCAATGCAGAGGGCAAGGCTGAGATACGCTCAGAATTTCACATGACGGGTTTTAATCCACTTTGACATCTAAAGTACTTCTAAAAAAATCCTATAAATATATCCAAGAATGCGTAACCAAATTGTAAGAACGTATAAAACGAACAATTCTGCCGCAAATCCGCAGTATATTGAAAAATTAGTTAAACATGGGCTGTTTCAGATCTGGACAACTTTTTCATGCCAGAACAATGCACGAATCATTTTCGGAAAACTAGTAGAGCAACTTTTTAAAAGAGACAATATGGGGCCTCAATGATTCATACATTAAAACATAGTTTTGACAGCAACAAAAGATAAACATTTAGTAGAGAAATTATTCATTTAACGGTGCACTTCACTGAAAACAAGGCAGCCTGAGAGCACAAACACACACCCCACGTACCGCTGTGAAATCCACAGCACGACTGGCAGGAATTGGATTCAATGGATGCTCTGAACACCGAATAACTGAGGTCACTAACACGGCATAGATGACTGTGTCAATGAATCAGTGATCCACTTATTAAATATTTTTAGATATTCAATTTACAATGATCTACCGACTATATAAATACACTGACACCGATCATGGTATAAAGTAACTTTGTCATCACAGCAAAATATTAGTTGACTGTTGGCAAAACCGTGCACTGAGAAAAAGGGAAAATTATATAATTATGGAATGATAATACGTGACGAGCGAGTTATACAAGAATTATTGGCTGAAAACTATCTAAGTAGATGAGCTATCAACCGGTCCAGGCATATCAGTTCGTTAGCATTTGCACACTTTTTTTATATAAAGTCATGTTACCATAATCATAACTAAGATGGTTAGAACCGGTAAACCTTGCCTGTACTGACATGAATTATTTATGGAAAAATTGTAAAAAGTTGTTCCACATGATGTCGAATAAATAGCCGGCCTGCTGGCTCACGCCTCAATGCAGTTCCGTTGTGTAATGAGTTAACATGTAAAAAAAATATTGATTGAAATTTGCAATACGGTGACGGTTGATTTACAAATAAAATGGCAATCAATGCACAGTAAAAAATAACAATAGATTAGATAAGCCTAGGACAGTCACGAAATTTGAAAAAAGAGGCTATAGCATATATACAACCGGCATCACGATTCTAACAACTTTAAAAGCTGTCACCGGACGAGTAACTTTGTACGTTTGGTTTACGTATGGAATGTGATTTGTTTTCTATATTGTTGTTTAGTTTTTCCATCTAACGGTAATTTTTCAGTTGAAGTTGATAGTAATCTGCTCAAAGTAATTTCACTGGTACTTGTCACGTTTTTACACAAAAAAATAAGTTGAGTCACTCGCAATAAGCAAATAAGTAGTGTAGAGCAAGCTATACCGGAGTCAGGCTCCACAGACTGAGCGTAGCAGTACCTTCACAATCGATCAGCTGTGGCAAAGCGTCCTAGATGTCGCCAATTTACTAGAATTTCGACGATACGAGAACAATAATAATAACAATAGAAGAAATTACATGGATAAATTTTTTCAGCATGCATTCACTTTCAATTGAAATTAAATTTAACAAAAATTTTTGAGCGTAATAACGGTATAATTCGTGAGATAAAGTTAGTAGTGAACATGAACATTGCGTACTCGGCACAAAGCCTCCTTTATGGCGCTGCCGTTCCACTCCTGCACTCGCATATTGTCGTACACTTACAGTGCTGAGTTCACATGTTTTCCACGTTTCTTGCTTGAAGTAAAAACAAGGCACGCTCACAGCCGTAATGGCGCGCATTGTTTCCTTTAAAAATCCATAAATCTTTTTCATTAAAGCTGGTGTGCCTGTTATGAGTTTCATCAGCATAGAAGAATCATCTATAACCGGAGATGTTTCCTGACAACAAAATTCGAATAAATATAATGGTTAATTGGATAAATTTTGATCGAATAATAATTTTTTAGAATAGAATAGAAGTGTCGGCACAGAAAAAATAGGCCCATGGCCTGTTGCCGATTCATGTACTTTTCGTGACTTGATTCACAAGGGATCTGGCGTTCGGAACCCGATCTTTCCATAACTGACGATTGGATAAAATTCTTCAAAGCACTTTAATTTCTTGAGCAAGGCATTTTAGAAATTTAGTGACACGCTTCTATCAGAACAAACTTAGTGGGTTAATAAATAACGTAGCTAAAATGCGAATTAAACATTGAATTTTAACTTGCATTTCTCAGTACACTGGTAAGTAATAGATCTAACACTGGTAAGTAATCTCATTATATTTGAACACGACGAGCGATCCGCAGAACTCTCATTGGTTATATTTTAGGAGGACCCGAAAATTTATCATTTTAGAATGTCCTAAGATTTTGACCTCATTAGTTTATCAATATTGGACGAGCGAATTTTACAGTCAAAACAAGTTTTTAGACAATGTATCAATCCATCCATTAAAACATACATCGGAAGCACCTTAGTCAGCACTTGGGCGAATTTCGCTGCCGCAGCACATTGCGTGGGAAGGATAACGCAGGTTCTCTATATAGACGCGCATTGCAGGGGCGGTTATCTGATCGTAATCCGGATTAATCAAGTGCATCGAAGAAGCGTCCGGATCGTACAAGTTAATGTGTAAATCATAATTAAGCTAATTTTATTATATTATTTCAATCATGTTATAAAGTACTTGAAGTCGAGTTAAGATTCTATAATAATAATAATAATAATAATAATTTGATGCGTTGGAGTAACTCACCGAGTAATTCTAACCAAATTCACTCAACAGGAAATCATCCAGTCCGTAAACGTAATACTTTACAAAATAATAGAATAATTAATACGTGACCACTTCCCATGATCACATTGTGACCCACATCAAGCGGCGCCACGTCACGGAAGATTTTTTTTTCAACGAGCAATACTGGCAGACTATGTCATTTAAAACACGATCCGCAAATATAATTCAATTCTAAGCCTACACGACTCAATGGGTTTCTGTTTTGTGATTGGTTAGATTAATTTAAATTTAAGATTGCATGGTTAAAAGATTGCTTATGATTAGGTAAAAAGTGACGACTATCCTTGTTGCCACGTGAGTCTGTCGCCAATGATGGATTTGAATAACACCGAAGAAAAGAGTGCAAAAATCACCAGCCGCCATGTTCGAGGCGTGGAACTTGCCTTGATAAATTTGCTGCCTGATAACGCAATTAACTCACGATAGATTCACTATCGCACGA